GGTACAAAAAGTAACTTTACAGTAGAGAAACCTGACTACTATGTGAAACAGGTGATCAAGGTCAACATCAACAGTGATAAATCATGTTCACATTAAGTACTCTTGATATGATGTAATAAAAAAATGGCACTTTATATCTGTTACTTTTCTTCCAATATCCCATTAACTCCAATCTAATCATGAGAAAAACATCAGACAAATTCTAATTAAGGTGCATTCTACAAAATACCCAGCAAATATTCTTTAAAACTGTCATGGACAGTAAAATGAGCAAAGTTTGAGAAACTGTCACAACCAAGGAGGGCCTAAGGAGAACATGACAATTAAATGTGCTATGATAGGATCCTGGAGGAGAAAAAGGATATTAAGGACCATTTAGGGAAATCTGAATAAACTACGGACTTTGATTAACATTGTTCATTAACAGATCAATATAAGACGTTAATAAATAGGGAACATCATATCACTATAAGACGTTAATAAATAGGGAACATCATATCAATATAAGATGTTAATAAATAGGGAAAACTGGGTTTAGGTGTATAGGGGAACTCTCTGTACTATGTTCTAAATTTTTCTGTAAATCGATAACTATTCTAAAAATAAAGCTTATTTAAAAAGTGAAATACAAATAGACAAAGATTGTAGGAATTTTATGTACTATTAAAATTTTTCCCATAAATATAGGTTACTTTTTAATTCATAGGGAAATGTAAATATGTAGTTATCTATATAATAATTAAGTTGTTAATTATCTTAAATAAATAATCAATATCTATAATGTTTTGTAACTGTGGATGTTAGTTTGGTTGGTTTACTTCGTTGAGGCAATATAGCTTAGTGATTGGTTAAAAACATAGCCTCTACAACCTGATTGCTTGAATTTGAATTCCAATTCCATGGCTGAGAGACACTGGGCAAGTCACTTACCCTCTCTGTGCCTCTCAGTTTCCTCACCTTTAAAAAGATAATGATAGATACTTCATAGATAAAATGGATGAGTTAAAACATGTAAAATACGTAGAACGGTGGCTACAACATAGTAAGCCTTCCATAAATGTTTGCAGCTGTTCTTATTAGTTTATGCAGCAGCAGAAACAGGTTAATAATATAAGTTAGGTCTCAAATGGAACCTAGTAGCTTTGAAATAAAAAAACAAACAAACTTCTGAAGATAATTTTATTAGTTGTAAGAAATAATTATATTTTCCCCCAGTTTTGCACTGCAAAGTCGATTCTTTGTTTGGCCTATAGCTAAATAAAAGTTGTTTATGGTAATACTACTTACTTATCAAAATCAAGGTAGAGTGAGTACTATTATAGAGTTGTACTATACTCTTTGAAACCTATCATAGTCTTAGAAGAGAAAGGAAAGGCAGTCATTTCAACCCCCCTTCTCTGATGTTT